AGTGGGGAAGCAATGGTGGGCTATGAGATGGGGGGCAGCATTGCAGCTGCTCCCTGATTTCGGTTGGCTGGAGCCTCCTCCCAGAGCATTCCTGGCTGGTTTGTTATGGTCACAAACCTTGTTGTGTGGAAATGTGGATGGCGCGAGGGGATGGGTTGCTTGTTCAACAGCAATGCTGGACCTCAGCCCGAGTCAGATGTTCAGTTTGGAGAAGCCCCTAGAGCCTTCAGAGCCCAGTTCTCCTTTCATACTGATTTGCCACCACTGCAACTCTTCTGACTTCCACAGCGTCCCTCCTGTTTATTGGCTTGACCCAAAACTCCTTGCAGTCAGTGAGAGGCCTCCTGCTGACTGCTTTGGATCAGGCCTGGACAATGGCGAGAGGGAGGGAGAGAAGAATCAGGCCCTTCTGAAGCTGAAGAATCAAGACCTGCACCTGTAGCCCCTGGGTGCAGTCTCATTAATGTTAATGTTAATGTTCCTTCCCACTTGCCAGAAACTGGGAGGTGCTGTGCACCCTCCTAACACCTATTGCTTAACTAGCTCTGTCCAGCCACAGAGCTCAGAGCATTTGGCAAAGGAGGCAAGGATCAGTGTACCTATTTCGCAGACAAGATGCTGGGACTCACCCACCAGCTGAGCCAGAAAAGAAGCAAGGTTTGCTGAGCCCCAATGCGGTGCCCTGTCTGCTAGGCCACAGGCCTAATCCTAGTCACCCTTGCCTCCGGGCAAGTTGGGAGCACTCAGTGCCCTGCAGAATCAAGACCGGTGTGGAAGTGCTGCAGGAAGGAGCCCTCACGTGGGACTAAGCCCCTGAGAGCTGCTTTCCCTTGAGAGTGCCATTAGGCTGGAATTCTGTAAGAACAGCTTTGTTCCCTCTTCTGCCACTTCTCTCCTGGTCCTGGCCTGGAAGGTAGAAATGCAAAAGCCCAGCAGATGCACAAAGGAAAAATCACAACAGTGTCCACCACTCGTGTGGTGTCATCACATTTTTGATGCTTTTCTTAAAGCCCCAGCTCATGAAGTCATGTGCGTATGTGAGAATCTTGGCTTTGGTTTAAAACAAAAGTAAGTTTCTGTCCCTCATGGTTGTGGAGAAAATATGAGCTCTAACGGCTCAAAACCCAAGAGGCAACTAAAAGGAACCCAAAAGGTATGATTTTTAAACCAATCTCATGATTTTGGGGGGGGCTGACTTGTGATTTTTGAACATTTGGGATTGGCAAATACTGCAACTGGGGGCAGAAAAATGTCACTGAGCTTTTTCCCACCTCCAGAAAGGCTCTTGGTGTACTGAGGCCTGGTTTGGGGAGAAGGCACAGGGTGGTTCAGAACCCCATTTCCCACCCCTACCATTCAACAGTGTCTCCCCACCTCTGAAGCTGGGCCTGAAAACAGCAGACAAGGGAGAGGGGCCTTGACAATAGGCAGCAGGCAGCTGTTTGACCTTGAGGGGTTAACCCTCCCCAGCTCTCTTCTGTCGGCTTCTGCAAAGGATTGAAGCTGGGAGCTGGTGGGGAGGGGGGTAGGAGAGGAAATTTTACACAATGACAAGCAGGCCCAGCAGTTAAATCTTGGGCTGACATGTTAATGAATTTCACAGTAGGCCTGGAAAAACTCTCACCCAGCCTCAATTTCCCAGAGAAGCGGGGGAGGGAGAGGGTGCTGGGTTTCGCCGAAGGAAATCTTGTTCCCATTATCTTTTTGCGAGAGTGTTAAACAGGAACTGGCAGCACTTTTTCCTTTTATCTCACACACGTGGATTTGGAATCCCCCCCCGCCTTTTGGGTTCCTGCGGCTAATAAAAAATAAAGGGTATGTGTGTGGTGTGGGGGGCGAGATCTGAAATAAAACGAGTTTAGCAGCTCTCTCCTCTGCTGCAGTCTGGCTAGCAGATTGGAGACCAGGCCCTTCCTCTCCACCACAGCACCCTGGCCACAGCTGGCACTGGTCATACTCCCTAATGGGCCTGGCACTGCACAACAACAGAAGGAGCTTTGCCGTTCTACCCCCACACCCCACAACCCAGTGCAAGGTGGGTGGTCCTTTTAAAGGGCCAGACTGGAGGGTGTTGGGGAAGGGGGCTGTGGGGACAGGCCAGGAAGCAGCAAACATAGAGACCTAATTCCCCTTACACTTCAGGGGCCCAATCCTACCCCCATAACAGCAGTAGCAAAACACCCTATTGCCTTTAATAGGGCAGAGCCTAAGGGAGTAGGGTGCTTCCGTGGCTTTTTTTCACATAAAAGGCTCTTCTGGACTTACGGTGGCACAGATCTTGTGACCTGGTGAGGATGGCGCGAGCCCAGAATGAATCCCACCCTGCCTGTGCCCCCAGGAGGGGCAGGGGGGAAGGCTTACAGCTCATGGCCACGGGGCAGATAGGCTGGTCAGAAAGGTGGGACATGCCTCTCAAAGTGAAAGCTGCCAGGGAAGGCTGCAGTTAGGCAATAAAATCTGGTCTCTATTCTCTGACACTGACTCACTAGGTGGCCTTGGGTGAGTCACTTATACCCAGACCCACAAAGTGCCTAACTCCACCAATTCCAATGGGAGTTAGGAGCCTAAATGCCTTTGAGGCACTGGGCTTTAGCCTCTCCATTCCACAATTTCTGCATCTCTAAAATGGGGATAATAATAATGACTTGCTGGGGGGTTATGAGTCTCAAGTAATCAGCAATACAGGCCTGTATGTAGCCCTCTGTAACAGGCAGGTCAGAGCCACAAGCCATGTGTGCAGGGGGCGTACAGGGGTGTTGGCAAGTGGCTTAGTGCCGCGGCCCGGTTCTCCCATTCTGTCCCAGAAGCACACTGTGTGCTGCCACTGGGGTGCTGGGTGCAAAGCAGATTCAGCCTTCTGTTCCGGGGTAGCTCTGTGCCAGGGGCAGTTGCCATCTGTTGGCAGCAAGGGGAGAGATGCTGTGGCAGCAGGATGGCAGGTGCCCAGCTGGCCTTTCCGCTGGGTGTCTCATTCTAACCATCCACTTTGCACTTATCTGTGATTTATGGCAGAACTGGCCTCCTGCCCCCCTCTTCCACATGCCCCAGCTCCTCAGCAGCGACCTTCCCAGCACCCAGCCCAGCGGGGCACAGAGAATATTACACATCTGGAGAACACATGGAGGCAAGCTGATTGTTCCCCTCCCCCGTCTCCTCAGCCATCCCACCAGCAGCGAAGCCATGAGCTAGTCGATGGGCAATGAGACAATGATCACGGCTCCTTGGGGAACTACACTAGACAATAGGCGCTGGGCAGCTGCCTTCTTCTGAACCCTCCTCTGCTCTGTCTGCTGCATAGTCCTTTGTCTGCCAGCACTGCCCTGCCCTCCCCTAGCTCCTCAGAGGCACTCTAGGTTGATTGTTCACCTCTTCCTCCCCCCCGACCCGCAAGTGGAGACAAGTTCCTGTGGGGATTCTGTTTATGGGGGTGTGATGAGGGCCGGCACCTGTTCCTTCCACCCCATGGAGGGGACCTGGGTGAGATCTGGCAGCCGCCGGGGAGGGATTCTTCCCTCTCTCTTCTCTCTGGATTCAAGCTCCATTAGCCCAGGTTCATTGGAGAAAGGCGGGAGGGATGGGGGTGAAGGGTGAGGGGAGGCTGGGAAGAGTTAACTTGGTATGGGGCACCAGAGATATTAAGATTTTGGCTGGATCTCCATGGTGGTGGTGGTGATTTGTATTGTGGTAACACCCAGGAGGCCTAGTTTGGACTAGGCCCCCTTGTGCTAGGTGCTGAACGAACACAGGACAAAAAGACAGTCCCTGCCTTGTATAAGAATACACCAAACTCTCAGAGGAAAGTCTAAGGCAGTCTAGACTGGTGTAGCCTGCAGTGCCTCCTGCCCCTCAGATTGGGCGTTGTACCAACCTAGATGCCCTCCCGGCTCCCTGAGACCTCCTCTGCCCTTAGCATCAGATCTCGATCCTGCTCCGGCTGAAGTCCATGGCAAAGCTCCCATTGACATTTGTGGTGCACACAGAGATGCCCCCTTCCCCCGTACTGCCCAGTGTGTCACTCCTCCTTCCCTCCTCTTTTCCCATTACTTCTGCACTTGGCCCACTGCGCCTAAGCAAGTCTCAGCCGATGGAGCTCAGATATGCTGGATGGAAGACCTGGAGCAACAAAAATAACTAACGGGAGGGTAGATGAATATCTGGATACTCCCGGCTGTAACTTACACCTCCTGATTTCTTGGTGTGTAAATTACATTGATTTAGACTCCCTGACACTGTGATGAGTGGGTGTACAATATGTCCAGGGGAGTCTGCGTGTGACCTACAACACCTTACCTGCAATCCCCTCTGAGTGTGTGTCTGTTCTCTGCAGCGATGGGCCAAAGCCAAAGGTTCAGCGCCTCTCTCTGGTTTGCAAAATGGGAGGGAGGTCTCATGAGAACAGGCTTTCTCCTGGGATTTCTTCTCCAGATTCTGTTCACAGCTGTGGCCTGCAAGGTCATAGACAAGAGCAAAAGGAAAAATAGCATGTGAGTGACGTAGCAGAAGTTTCTGAATGTTTGTTTCCAAGTTAGGGGTGAAGGCTCAGATTGATTTGATCTGAACTAGTTGTCCCAACCTTACTCATTGATCTGTAGCCAATCAACCTACTTCCATTCTGCTCCTGCCTGCATTGCACACGCAGAATTCCTAGGCGATGCAGGCGCCGTGCTTTGGGCTCCTTGGCCCATTCAGTCCTTGGCCTCTCAGCTAAGACTGACCCCACTTATCTCATCGGGGGATTGCACCACCCGAGTACAAGAGCTTGAATCAGGCCTCCCTTTCGAGGCGTCTGCGGACATTCTGTGTTGGGTGGCTCACTCCGGCCTCCTCTGGCTTAGTGCCTCGAGTTGAAATTTTGCCAGTGGCTCTGAGTCTGCAGCCTGGCTGGGGCAATCCTCTGAGTGGATCTGGCCCTGGGGTTAGAGGCTGGGTGAGTGAGCTCTTCTCTGGCCCCTGAGCCCTTTTTTCACCTGCTCAGCCTCTTCTCCCCTCTCCTCCCGCAGCCTGCAACTGTAACCTGCATGCCCGGCGCTGCCGCTTCAACATGGAGCTGTACAAACTCTCAGGCAGGAAGAGCGGAGGTGTCTGCCTCAACTGTCGCCACAACACAGCCGGCCGGCACTGCCATTACTGCAAAGAGGGGTTCTACCGGGACATGAGCAAATCCATCAGCGACCGCAAGGCCTGCAAAGGTAAGGAGAGCTGTCAGCATGGGGGACCTGCTCCCCTCAGCCCTCCTCTCCCCCTACGCCCTCTCTCCCAGCCCTTTTCTCCTCTGTTGGCTGCACCATTGCCCTCTCTAAGGGGGCATACCTACTTTTCTCTATTTAATTCCTTCTGAATGCAGCTGTTTGTCCTATATAGCCCCGTAAGTCCTGCTGCCCCTGCCTGGTTCTAAACTCCACTCACTAGGGCAGTCATCTCTGCTGCTTTCCCAATGAGCTGATGGAGCATGAAGGAGAGCAAAAGGGAGACAAATAATAGGTTGGGCTTGTCTTCCTCCCAGCATTTCACTGATGAGAGGTGTGAGTCTCAGCTGCCCAGGCAGCAAGGATGGAATCCATCTGTCCATCGGCTTAATCTGTCTTTCTGATGTCTAATGCACCCATCCTTCATCTTGAAGGGTCCATGCATAGACACACATAGATATCTAAAGCCTTGTCTATATTAGAAAACTTGCACCAAGGTAATCAAATTCATTTAATATTGATCTAGTTACACCAGGGCAAACTGCTAATGTAGATTCACTTAAAAGGATGGAAATTACTTTCGACCTGATTTAGATTAATACGGTCAATTATCACATTGGTTTGAGTGCAACTGGAACTGATTTGGGTGTGTAGGGGTTGTAGGGGGTTGCACTGGTATAACTAGATCCATTTTAGTTCCCCTATTGCAAGTTTTCTAATGTAGATTGATTCTAGGATCTGGTGCTTGAGGGGGGCTGTGCCCCACAGCTCCTGTTAACTGACATTGGAGTGCTCAGCATCACTGAAAATTGGATCAGATCTGCACTGGATTCTGCCCACTGTTGGACCTATCCTCCCCCTGGTTTTTGCTCTCCCCCCACAGCACACTTCCTCTGTGACGCAGCATGACCACAGTCCCCCCAAGGAAAGGAGCACTTCATATAACAGAGCGAGTGACAGTTGTTATCACCTGCGCCATCGCTGAGAATGCTATTTACCTGGGAAGAAATCCTGCCCCCTCTGATGTCAACGCGAGTTTGGCCATTGACTTCAATAGAGCCAGGATTTCTCCCCTGGACTGTGTCTAATGGAGACTGTGAGCTTCTTCAAGAAGGGAGTGGGGCTGCCTTGCTGGCATCAAGAAGACATCTTCTGTGCACAAGCTGGAGAGGCTGCTGGGAGCATACAGGCCTTGTCTTGTCTTTCTTTTCTGCTGTGGAACACTCACCCGCCACTGTCCACCACAGGGCGAGACAGTGGCCAGTACACACTTGGAAGCTAGGTTTAGGGTTCTCTCAGTTCCGGTCATGCCAGTGGGAGCCTTTCCATTGACTTGTTTGGGGCTGGGTTGGGCCCAGGCGATGGGTGAATAAAATAAGTCTCTCCACCCCAGCCCCCAACAAATTTGTGCACCAATCTAGAGCCAACCTCCTCCTTCCCCCCAACAAGAACGGATCCTTTTTGAGGTCTGAGAAAACAGGCCCCTCATTATGGTTCATATTGGTCCTCTGCTACCCTCCTTATGGGTTCTGGAAGCAGACACGCCCAGATACAGAGCCACAAACCAGGCTGGTCGCTCAGGATCTCAAGTCTTGTTTCCCATATGTGAGAGGTGCAGCATATTTAGAAAAGCTTTGGATAGGCATCCAAGCCAGCATGGCTCCAATGGTCTGAGGTTCACCCTACACAAACTAGTAGTTCCCATGAAGAGAGGGAGCTGGGAGAAGCCAGCTCACCACCTCAAGGGACTCCAGCCTGGGAGGTTGGGATCTTCTCTTCTCTCCAACCTTGATGCCTGTGCCAGATCATGGTGGGTGACCATCCATATTGGGAGGGACTTCAGTCCTGACCCAGTCTCATGGTGGGTGCATGCTGATGGGCCAGACAGGTTTGGAGAGGGGATGCAGTGGATCATTTTTCTTATGGGTATTGCAGGTCAAAGGAGTGCCAGACCACAAAATGTTGCTTTTATGTAGGACCTACATATAAACAGTGACAGCTAAAGATTTTGGGGAGAAAGGGGCAGTTTTGCAGCAATAGAATAGGTTTGGAACATAGACATTTGGCCCCTGTTCTTTGGCAGATTAGAACAATTTGAAGGTAGGTAGCTGAGCATGTCGCTTTGTGCTGGGCAAATTGGTAGCCTCTTCATCATCCCTAGTGCATGAATCCCACCCCGTACAAAAATCCCACCCCGCCCTCAGGAAGTGGCACGAATGCGGACGCAAAGAGGAGAGAAAAGTCCCCGTTTTAACAAGTGCCTCATAAAGTGAAAAGCACCAGTGGCAGAAAGCACCGCTGAGTCTGGCGCTGGCACAGAGAGCTGAGACCTGCTTGCAGCCAGGGCATTAGGAATTGAGAACTAATCGTTTTTAATAAGTGGAGCAGCTGAGTTGGCAGGCCCCCCGTGCATGTGTGCCTCACCTCGGCAATCAGCTCTCCCGTGGCTGGGGGATTTCACGCTTGCTCCAGACACCATTGGCCTTTCGGTGACTTGGCTTGGAAATGCTCCCCTTCCTCCCCAGCTGTGGGAGCCAAGTGGGGTACGGTTTATGTCGAGCATCTTGTGCCAGAAGGAAGCTGAGTGTTCTGCTGCGGCGATGGGAGGGAACGTGGCTCATCGGAGCAGGAGCAGTTCCCCAGTGGCTTGTGGTGCACCCCCACTCCGTGATGCTGCCAAGGGGCAATTTTCTTCCTCTGGGAGTACTGCAAGGGACTGAGAGAGCTCTGCAGAACAGCTGAGTAGCTAACCCTGGTCTGATGCTCCTGGGCCATCAATGCCCTGCTATCCCAAGAGATGTGGTGTTGCCCAAGGCGGCTGCAGAATTGGGCTGTAGCTCTGAATCCAAACATGGGGCTGAAGGTGCAGGAGACTTGTCAGTCTTTGGGGTGGGTCTCAGGACCCATTTGGGTGACACCTTTCATAAGAGAGGAACCCCTATGTCTGCTTTGTGGGGGATGGGATATATCCCCTTCTGTTGCACCATTCTCCATTTCCCTCCTCCATCTGAGGGGCTTATGGAAGAGGGGGTGGTTAGATCTCTGCTTTAGGGGCCTTGGCTCCCTGCTGTTCCCCTTCTGCCAACCCCTCTTCATATGGGTGGGGCAAGGGTCAGTCTTGGCTTGGAACATGCTAAGGGCAGTTGCATCTGACGGAGAGACTTGGGATGGAGCAGTGAGGGATGCAAAGGAGGAAAATGTTATCGGCAGAAAAGAAAGAGGAGGAGGAGTAAGGGAGGAGGGCAACGTGGACTATCTGGAAGGTGCACATTTCAAACCTCTATACATACAGTCAGTGTCACCCGCCAGGGCCCTGCTGCCAGAGGTCTCCTGCCTGTGGTGGATGTGTGCATAGCATATACACGCCAGGGCACTGGTGCAGGATTCAAAGGCTGGTATTGCGAGTGGTGACGCCCGTGTCTGGATCTTGCTGCATGAGAGCTGGAATGAAAGGGACCCAGTGTCTCTTCCTCGTAGATTTTCATTCCAGTGTCTCCAGTTTTGGGATCTAAACCCAGGTTGCATTGTCTCTGTGGGAGCGTTCCTGCCATCTCCAGACACTGCTCATCGTGCCTCTGGGCTTGCTGCCCTATTGGTCAGGCCATATGGTTTCCCAGGAAACAGCTCTGAGTGCAAAGTATTCCCTAAATATTGCAACCCAGCACAAATGCAGAAGGGCAGGCAGCAGTCTTGTCAGCCTGTGGTTTCTCGAGAAAGCCCTGAGTCATTTCCTCTGGGGGGTAGGGAGGGGATCTGCAGGAACCGTTGCTGCAACACAATCTCCCCAGCTCCTCTGCCACTATTCTCTCCCCCTCCTCTCTCTCTCACACCCGCCCTGTGAAAGTTTTGGTGGTGGCAGTTTGCTGAGGCAGTGCTTTATTCCTGCCTTTGTTTCATCCCTTTGCACACCTGCCCTTGATCTGCTCAGTCAGTACCCAGGCCACTGCTGCTATGCTTCTGACCAGCTCCAGCCAACGCTGTGTCTGACTCCCACGGTGGCCCACTTTTTGCTGGTTGGCTGTTCAGTTCTGCAGAGGCTAGAAAGCAATGCCCTTAGCCTGCCAATCCCTCCAGAATGTGACTTCAAGCTCTCTCTCTGCCTGGCTCCTCAGGCTTCTCTTGCCAGTACGGCAGCTCCTCATGCACGGAGGAGCCATTGTATCAGCCACTTGGTGCTCCCTCTGTAGAACTCCCTGGCCAGTGCTGTCCTGGATGCTGTCCACTGCCGTCACTGCAGACTTGGGCAATGTTAGCTCAGCACCGCAGATACTGGGCCAGATTCTTATCTCTCTTACTCCAGATTTGCACTGTTGTGAATCCACTAGGAGGAGAATCAGGCCTTCTCTTGCCTTAATTACAGGATGTCTTTTATAAATAGCTCTTCCTTTCTTATGGGTCAGAGACTTCTCCCAACTTTTTTGCTACAAGCTGGGCTGGAAGTCTTATGAGTTTGGTTCCAGCTCCATCTGAGCCACTGAGGTCCTCCGAAAGGCCTCTGTCACTTCTGCGGCTGGTCCCAGCCTAAACCAGCAAGAGCAGAGGGAACACTAAATTGGAAAAGGTGGAAGCGAGTTAGCCAACTATTTCCAATCTCCACGGTTCAGTCTGAGGCTTGCACAGAGAGTTGGGTGAGCTCTGATCTTCTCTTGAACCAGTTTGCCCAGCCCTGCTGGAGGTGGCTTGGCATCATCATAACCCGGCACTGTGGAAGCAGAAACTGTTGTTACCCTGCCTATGTTCTTTGCTGGGGATTTTTAGGTGCCTTCCTTGCAGATGTCCTATTTATCCTATGCACCACACGTGTGCGCACACAAACAAGCTGCTGTGGGAGCCCGTCAGACAGACAGGAAGACACTAGACAGTGTGTGTATGTGTGAGTATGAGTATTCAAAGGATCAGGCAGATTTATTTCCACACACTGAGTCGTGGGAGGGACTCTGAGCATTTCCTCCCCTGGCCCTCTTTTGGGCATCTTTATTTTTGGAGCTGAGGGCAGGGTAGCA